AGAATCAGGCCCCGGGGATCTCAAGTTGGGTACTCAAAATCAAAGGGCTCTTTAGAAGATATGGGCTGTAATCTCTCTAGGCCCCATTCGGTGAAACAGGTATGATCATATTTACCTGCTTGACAAGAGAGTCGAATGATTGCAAAAAGCATGCAGCTCCCCAGATGAAAGGTTGCTAGAGAAGGGGAAAGGATGAACTCACTCAATTCCAGCAAATATTTTCCTACTAGAGATAAAGACAAACACCCACAAAAGAGAAGGAAAAAGACCTCCAAGGCCTGGAAAGCATAGGAGGAAGTTGAATTACCAAGGACTAGAGCCTTTGTGAGCTGATCAAACCCCAACTGTCCTTTTCAGCAGGCTGGAAGCTATAATGCTATGAGAACATGCATCATGAATGCAGCACACTGGGACTGCAAGCAAAACGGGTTCTACTTCAGGTTAAATTTTTAAACAGCTAAATACACAAGGTTCTGGAGGGAACAATAAAGTCACCAGCTCTCCTGAAAGCATGAAGGGTTCCCTTCCCAGCTTGGGCAGAGCAGCCTGGTTCCTTATTTTAAAGTGGAATCGGAGTCATGAATACGGTAGAGTCAGACGCTGACAGATTTGTAGTTCCCGTGGACAAGAGCTGGTGGTGCAGAGCATGGGAAGAACCTCGCTCTGTCCTTTACCATTCCAGGGCAGAGACTATCTTGATTTATTTTAATCCTCTCCAAGCAAGACAATGGGAAGGCACCAGTGCATGCCAGCCACCCCTGAGATTAAGGGAGGAAGTGCTCATGTGTGGGGGAAATGGCCATTAGCCAAAGAACTATGTGAGGACCTGTTCTCCTGATCCCGCACCAAAGCCAAGACTAGGCAGGATACCGTCTCCCTCTTCTCCCCCAGCCCCACCACCCCCACACTATGTGATTTGCATAGAGAACTTATTAGAGCTGCAAGAATAGTGAGGGAGAAAGAAACTCCACATCTGCCTGACTAGGAAAGCGAATTTTGACTGTCCTATATATTCAGGACTCTGAAAAACAAACCCCTTCCACGCACACACATGTTAGTAGTGCAAACAGTCCAATCGAGTACATTTTAAGGTTCAAGTCACCAAAAGGAAACCGTATATTCAACTGTAAAATTGCAGCTTCCCAGTACCAATTTGTGGCATGCTAGTTACCTAACTCATACAATCAGAGAACAGAAACACTGCTATGTGACTTCAGTACCTAACATAGTACAAACTGCACCCATCACGATTGAATATAAAATTCAGATTTTGAGCTGCGTTGATTTGATACATAAGTCAAGTGGTTTTGTTCACATTCCTTGATTGGACGATTTATACAACTAACCGACACAGTATAAATTGCAAGCATCACAATTGACTATAACATTCAAATTTTGCACGGTGTTGGTTAATTATATAGGTCGTCCAATCAGAGAACACAAACAAGATCACAGAAGCAAGCAAACCAGCCACCACAATGCAAATAGGGAGCATTTACAACCTGATTATTTTCTGAAGAAATTTGTGAATAACTTGGAATAAAGAATATAATCTCATCATCCACTCATCATGAATTTGTTAATAAAAAGTCAAAATTTGTTGAATATAATATCTGCAGTATTCCCAACTCAAGCATTTAAAAATTATGAGTCAAAATCATGAGATTTAAAAAAAAAAAAACTTTGGGTTCTTCTGATTTTCCTTGGTTATGAAGCCTTTAGGGCTTCTGTTTATAAAATATTCTAGGTAACCAGTAAGGCTAGACACTTACTTAAAAAAAACCCCAAAGCAGATATTCCCATGCAATTGAATGTGTGCTGGAGCAGGGCTTGAAGAAAACACCAAATATCATGAACCATGCTGAAATGGTGAGAGTTGGCAGCATTATTTTAATTTGTTAAGAGTTATTCACTCAGCTCCAGAAATGTTCAAAGATCTTAAAAGGTGGTTTCAAAAATGCCAAACAGTTTGTTCATACTCTCACAGCAAAGGCAAGTGCAAAGCTTTCCCATGGGGTGAGTTCTCTGTATGAAAGGCCTGTCTATATCAGGGATTTTTACACCAGCATAGCTACTCTGGTTTGGTACATCTCAATGCAGGGCTCAAACCTCACTTTACCCCGGCACCTCTTCACTGGAGGTTTGCACCAGCATGAGGATCCTTTCTACAGACATACAGACAAACCCCTTGTCGGAAGCTACGGGAAAAGCCCCTATCATTCAGGAGTGCTGAGAGCCATTGAACCAAACTGTAAATCCTGTGTGTGATGGAAACCAATTCAAGCCAGGGGGTGCAGCAGCACCCCTAGTTCCAGCAGCTATCATTTTATAAATATATTTTAAAATGAAATGTCACCCATTTGGAGCAGACAGAAAAGTAGCAGCACTGTCAAGGGAACGTCCAGGAATTCCTTGTCATTTTGTTTCTGAAAGAGAGACTGATTGTGTTGGTAGTTGAGGGATGGAAACTGCAGATTCAGTGTCCCAACCTGGGGCACATAGAATCCATTAAATAAGGCCAGGCCTCGAGAAAACAAGTTCACTCAAGATCAGCCCCCAGATACAGCTGCATGCAGAGCTTGGAGAGTCTCAATGAAGAGTTTACTTCTGGCCATTTCTCATTCATGACCAAGGATAAACAGAGGGCCTCATTTAGCTTTGTGCAGCTCAGTGCGTTACAGGAGGGAGGACAGAGCACAGCCAACATTTTTTTAGACTCGCTAACAAACGGTCTAACATAAGGGGCGATATCTACAGCAGGACCACCCTAATGAGATACTCCAACCAGTGCCTCCTCATAAGGCCAATACAGGCTCCAACAAACTTCCGCTTTAGCAAGGAGAACTATGTCAATAAGACATTAGTAGGCATGAGGAGCCCGGGCGGGCATCTGCAATACAGGGCATTAGTACACTGCATGCCTGCAAAAATAATTCAGATAGGAGGGATATCGCTGGGGTGTCAAATGATTAGCAGGGCTGGAAAACTACACAGCAATGTTTTATGGGGATGCTTTTATATCATCCCCAAATACGGAATAGTAAAGCAAGGTTGGGGAAGCTTTCGGCTAAATTGTCGAGATGTGCCAGGTATTAAAAAAAACTTTCCTCAGACATTCAACTATGCAGAGTACATCTGCTAAGGAAGAGTAAGGAAACATTTAGCTTAATGGCCATGTCTAGAGAAAGTGCTATTCTATTACAGAGACAAAATCAACAGGCTTGAAACCAGAGGGAATATTTTCAATGTAAAAGAGATTCCCCCCACCCCTCACTAAACTTTGTACCTTAAGAAGCTTTTTTGGCTCAGAAAACCCTCCTCTTTTAAAAGGCAGGCCTCATTTTATGTGTTAAGGCAGCTCTCTTAAGGTCCCAGCGAGAAAACAGTTCCTTAAATCCCAAGAATCTCGCAGCAAGCCGAACCCCTAAAACTGGCCTCACTCGCTCTCCTCAGACCGCAAGGTTATAATGGGAGAATGGAAAAAAGCAACGCATGACTGCCGGGTAGTAATACAATGCAGGCTCCTTCGGGGAGCATGTGGGGAGCAGCAGCCCATCTAGCGAAGGTCTAGGAGAATGCCCGGTTGCAATGCTCTGAATCTGCCTACACGATCCCAGGAGGCTGTTGCTGGGTTTTGTTCAATTCAGACAGGAATGTCTTAGCCCCTTGCCTGTGCTCTCTGAACAACCAGGCAGCCGCATGCCTGCCATTAAGCTCCCAATAATCAATATGAGAAACATTTACCAAGTGCCAACTATCCAGAGAGTTTACACAAGTTCAAGAAACAACTCCCCCGCCCCTCCCCGCCTTCATTTCCAGTCACAGGGATCCTCAAAAAACCTGACCCCGGTGGCACCTGCCCTACAAGAACTCTGAAGCCACCTTTCCCCGTGGCCTAGAGGGGACTAAACCCCTCCATGCAAACTCCAGCCCGGGGCAGTCTCTAAAGCCCTGCTGCAGAAATGGAGAATTCAGCCCCATGCGCTGGGTGTCCCTAACCTTTGACTGCCGAAGCTGGGACTGGATGGCAGGGGGTGGATCACGCCATAAATTGCCCTGTTCTGTTCATCCCCTCTGAAGCACCTGGCCCCAGCCACTGTTGGCAGACAGGATCCTGAGCTAGATGGACCCTTGGCCTGCCCTAGCATGGCCGCTCTTCTGTTCCTCCCCTTACCCCAGTACAGTGACTTCAGTGGCTCTCCTGTTCCATCACGAAGGAGAGCGGGTCCCCGGGGTGTGCTCTGCCCACGGGACTAAGCAGTTCGCTCTCCTTTGGGGAGGTCTCGTCTGGTAGCCAGGCCAGGCACAGCACCAAGAAGTGCCCCCAACTCCTCCCGGTGGGTCCTACCAGGACCCATCCACGCCGGGGCTCCCTGCGGCCGGTGCATCGCTGGGGGATACACAAGGAAGCGCAGGGCCCGATCCTGCAGGCGCCCGCGCGCACCGGTAACTTTGCTCAGGGATGGGGCTGGCTTGCTCCCAGAATCGGGCCCTGCGAGGGACGCGGCGAACTCTGCCCAGCACAGAGCGGGAGGTTGCTGCGGGCTCCCAGCGCACCTGGCACCGCAGGCCGGGAGGGGCCGGAATCAGCCCCCGCGGCTCTGTCCCAGCCACTGCTGAGCAAGGTCCGGCCGCCCCCATCGGGGCCCCAGGCTGGCGCGGGGACGGGAAGCAGTGGGGTGCATTCCAGCCTCCATCACAGCCCCCCGGCGGACACTGACCCTCCCGCGGGCCAAGCTCAGGCTGCCCTGGGCGTTCTCCGCAGCGTTTCACCGCCAGGCCCCCAGCCCCGAGCTGGGGCGCCCCCTCTGACTCACTCCGGCCTCACTCAGCAGCCCCGCCCCCATGGAGACAGACCCCGGAGGCGCCCCTCCTTCCCCCTCCCCCCAGGAGCGAGTCCCAAAGTTTGGGGAAAGTTTGCCCGCAGCTGCGATGGCGCCTCCCGGGCAAGGGGGGCGGGTGGGGGGCCGCGTGGAACGCCCCCTCCCCCAGCTACTCACCGGTCCGGCAGGGCACAGTCCGCGGGGTCCAGTGGGGGAGCGGCCGCCCCAGGCGGGGCCGGTCCCGCTCGGTGCCCCCGGAGCTGCCGCAGAGACACAATCCCCCGGCGGCGCCGGCTGCTGGGAACAATAGGCGCAGAGCCCTGGCCGGGGCTGGAGGCGCGCAGACCTCCCGATCCGCCCCAGCTCACAGCCCCGGCTCCATCTCACCAAGGGGGCCCCCGCGCGCTGTAGATCCGGGAAGGGGTCGGCCCCCGGGGAAGACACAAGTGGCCCCGACGCCCCCTAGACTCCGCCGATCCTGGGGGCTGGAAGCCCAGGTGCCCGGACGAGCTGCGGTGGATGCGCTGCGCTCCCCGGGTTCCCTCCGTGCGCTCCGGAGCAATGCACCTCCCTCCTCCGGCTGCTGCCCGGTGCCCAGTCCCACACTACGCGCTGCAGAGCAGGGCTGAGTCCCTCCCTCCTCGCCAGCCCCTCCTCCGTCCTCCACACCCCCCTCCTTCCCAGCTCCTCCTCCTCGCTTCGCTCAGCCCCTCCCGCTCCGCCTCGTCCCCAGTCCTGTCTCTTCTCCATCCCACTGCCCCCTCTCCGTGTTCCCACGCCTCCCTCCTCCTCTCACCCGCCAGCAACCTGCCGGGCTCACCCCCCCTGGGCTAGCCTGTCCCGGGTGGGGAAGCGTCCCTGCCTCTGCCGGGAGAAGGAATCTCAGGCTCCGGCTTCTCGGGATAGACAGGAGCGGGAAGGGCTCGGGACTTTGCCCGGGAGGCTCTTCCAAGTGCGCTGGATGGGCGAACAAACCCCTCGGTATTTGGATCGTGCAGTGAGCTCTGAGCCCCCGAAATGCGGCTCCTCCTTCCGCACGGAGCTCCTGGCAAAATCTTGGCTGTGGGGCGCAGGTGGCTGGGGAACGTCCCTTCTTCCCCAGCAGAGCTGGGCCTTTGGCCACCTCTCTGGTTTACATTTGATTTGCCTGTTCCCTTCCAAATAAACCCACGTGGTTTCTAAAGACTGATTCCAAACAGTGCAGTTTATTGTGTAGGGTGTGTTTCATATCCTGATGATTTCTGTGTGTTATGGTAGCTCTCAGAGTCCCCGAGATCAGGATCCGGGACCCCACTGGTCTAGGTTGTAGTACAGATATGTAGTAACAATAGCTAGTCTTACAATCTAAGCCCCCGATCCTGCAATGAGCTTCATGGAGCTAGTATCAGAGGGGTAGCCGTGTTAGTCTGAATCTGTAAAAAGCAACAGAGGGTCCTGTGGCACCTTTGAGACTAACAGAAGTATTGGGAGCATAAGCTTTCGTGGGTAAGAACCTCACTTCTTCAGATGCAAGACTTACCCACGAAAGCTTATGCTCCCAATACTTCTGTTAGTCTCAAAGGTGCCACAGGACCCTCTGTTGCTTTTTACAGATTCAGACTAACACGGCTACCCCTCTGATACTTTACAGAAAGGAGTACTTCAGCAGGATATTT